ATTAATTATTAATTAGCTGCGTGTATAATTTAATTGTAGAATACGTAAACATTTAAATAAATGAAAATTTATACAAAGGTGAAGTATTAATTATTACAATAATCAGAGTGTTACTATTGATCGGAACAAAAAGAAAGACAATACGGTTTTTTGAAGTTGGTAAATCGAGTTCTTTAATTGGTAACTGAAATTCGATTTGTATATGGCAAATTTCAAGAATGTTACACAAATTGCTTCACCGAAATGATAAGACAAATCGAATAGGTTAATGTCTTTAAAATAATGAACTTTCATAATATGATCTCGACGTATTGTTTGGTCGATATGAAAGCGTTCAACGCAGGATAAGCTTCAAACACGCTGGCACAAACACATCAGAAAATTGCGCGGAACGATTTAACAAGTGTTTTCGATTAACAACATAGCGAGAATTGTGCAAACGCTTCAGATAGTCACAATTAATACACCATGCCGCCAAAACGGAAAAAAGATGCCAAGAAGATGGACCTCGAGCCTTTACCAACGTAAGTCCTATATCATACAGTAAATTCTCCCTAATCGATCCTCAGTTAGTACACAAAAATGAACAATTTGGGAAGAAGAGATACGAGTATTCGAATCTTGTGTCAACAACTATTAAAACGAGCCGCAAGGCTCGAATGATCGTATCTCCTCCTACCAAAGTGTCCATTTTCGTTTCTAAGCTGAGGGTCAGTTAGGGAGAATTTCACCCGAAATTTTCATAATTCTTTATGCAATCACGACAAAAATGGATGTACCGTAAATTCTCTCCAATTGTCATTGAATATGTAAACAGAAATGGAGACAATTTGAGAAGAGGAGATGCGATTTATTCGAGCCTCGCAGCTCGTTTTTATAGTTTTCGATTGTCAATAACTATTATATAAAAACGAGCTGCAAGGCTCGAATAATCGTACCTTCTCTTCCCAAAGTATCCATTTTCGTTTCCAAGCTGAGGGTCAATTAGGGAGAATTTACTATATTTCATTTTTCGAATTAGAGCACCTAAAAATAGCGCTTCTTATAATAGCTATTATATTTATAATAGTAATTTATATACTTTATAATTATATAATATATAATTTATATATTTTATATTATATCTATAATAGTATTATAAGATCAACCTTGCACGAGAGCAAAGTAAGACATAAATGATTCTGTAGAAATTATATATAAGAATTTGTTCTTGATTTATTATTTTATCATTCATGGGAAAAGAATTGAGCCGGACATCCCGGAAATGATAGAATCGGATGAACCACCGAGGCCATTGGTGTCGATGGTCACAGGAGAGCCATTTGGGCCACGAGTCCAGCAAATTGTTGAGAAAATGGAAGACGAAAGCTCGGACGACGAACCCGAGTCCGAAAGCGACGAGGAACTGAAACGATTGACGGAAGATCTATCGGAAGTGCCTTCGGAATTCTGGCACATACAAAAGCTGATCAGATATATGAAAGCAGGCAATCAGACTGCCACTTTGGTGGCGCTTTGCTTGCTGAAGGACTACGACCTCGATAGTAGGGTAACGCTTCGTTGAAAATTGCATTTTACCTAGGATCGGCATGCGAATGTTAACAAATAATTTATGAAAAATATAGAAAAAGATTATATATATATATACATATATAATAATTAATATAATAATAATATTATATTAATAATAATAATAATAATAACATATTATATTAATTAATAATATATAATATATATATATATATATATATATATATATGTATATTAAAAAATAGATCATTCAACGAGCCATCCAAGAAATGGGGGGCTTAGAGATTTTGGTGAATCTTCTCGAAACCACGGATTTAAAATGTCAAAGCGGTTCTTTGGCGGTGTTGCTGCAGATTGCGAAATCCTCAGAGATGCGACGATGCTTGATCGATCTGGGCATCGTATCACCCTTGATCCAAATGTTAAAACATCCAGCTAGAGACATACAAGTTAGTTTTCTTTTATAGTCGACCGGTATATATGTTTATTAGTATATATGTTTTCCTCTCGTTTCGATGAAATGAATATAAGCGAGTTTTGTTACCGCGAAGATCCTGGCTGCAGAGACCATGGCGATTATTGCGCAAATAAGGAAAGCGCGCAAGCAAATACGTCTTCGAGGCGGCGTGCCGCTTATTGTAAGTGCTACCACGAATGAATGCCTGATCCTTTAATATCGAACTCATTAGAATCAAAGTTCCTATAACAGCATTTTTATAGCTGGACGTAATGGACGTACCCGACTCTATTCTCCGTCAGCCTTTCGACACCTCGAACGAAGTTAACAAGGAATTAATGTCGGTCGCGATAGCTTGCGCGAAGGTGTTGGACTCTCTGAGCAGCAGTCCTAAGATAAAAGAGGAGCTTCGCAAGCACGGCGCGGTTAAAATTATGGAGCGTTTCTTGAAATCGAAACACACCTCGTTGGTGATACCCATGATGGGTTCTGTTCAACAATGCGCAGTCATGGTAGGCATAGTCTTTTATAATATAGAGCAGGGGTGTCAAACTCAAAAGCTAACTTGGGCCATAATAATAAATAAACAATGCTTAACTTTAGGTGGGCCGCAACAAAAATCAATGTTCATAGAAACAAATATATTATTGTTTATATTATATATTATATTATGTTATATTATATATATATATATATATATATATATATTATATATTTATATATATATTATTCTTTACGTCCTGATACTTGACATCAAAAATATTCATCTCGGGCCGCGAGTTAGACACCCCTGGTATAGAGTATAGATAATCCTGATCCACTTCGTCGGCTGTAATCTTTTGAAACGAAAATGGAAATCGACATTTGCAGCCAATTTTCCGAGACGCGTTCGAAGAGACGAGCATCATGTACTCGGTGGTGCATCACTTGAAGAACGACGACATCAAATTGAAAGAGAACTGCGCCCTAGCGATATTCAACTGCGGCCCGAACAAGATTGCGAGGGACATAGTTCGGGAGACAAACGGTCTGGACATACTCTGCAAATTAGTTAAATGTAAAGAGGTTCAGGAGAACAAGAGTCTCTTGGCAGCGGTCACCGGCGGAATTTGGAAATGCGCGATAAGCCCCGAGAATGTGGCGAGATTTAATCAAAACGATTTGGTGGCTTCTTTGGTCACGTTCCTAGAGGAATACGAAGACGAAGATGTACAAGTAAACGCTGTAGGGGCTCTGGCAGAATGTTGCAAGGATCCTGCGAATAGAACCATCCTCAGAGTGAACGACGGTCTACCGAAACTTGTAACGAAACACAGTAATTAAGCGACCTGTGTCGTAGCGCAGGTACCCCCCGTATAATACGAGAGTCAGGTTCCGAAAAAGTTCACTGTTTTTTGACAACTAACACTTCTCAGTACGTAACTAAGCTTTTTCAAAACTTCCTCTTTCGGTAAACAAAATCTGCGTTTAGAAAGTAGAACTCTTTCCTGTATTTAGCTCTGCACTTCGCTTCATGAAGCTCTTCTTCTACTATCAATTCTTATACAGGGTATCCTAAAATTATGGTACTTCCAGGAAATTAAGGATTCCTGAGGTTATTTGAAGCAACCTTTTCCTTAGCGAAAATGCAATCCGTGGTTTCGTTTACGTGTTATTAACGAAAAACACTGACCAATGAGAAGCGAGCTCGGCTGGCGCAATCGGCCGAGCCAATGAGCGGAACTGAGCTTCGCGCACTCGTTAGCTCGGCCGCTTCGCGCCAGCCGAGCTCGTCTCTCATTGGTCACTGTTTTTCGTTAATAACTCGTTAACGATGCCTCGGAGAAAACTTTTGTAAAAGAAAAAGTTACTTCAAATGATCTCAGGAAACCTCCATTTCCCGGAAGTACCATAATTTTGGGACACCTTGTATACTTACTATACTTTCAGGATTTGTATTAAACCTTCTTCTCGCAGGTTCTAGAAACTAGTGACGCTAGAACGATACTGTGTTGTACGGGGGAAACCTATATACGAAATAATTTTGAAAATTTGTTAACGCATAGATCAGATTGTTAACGTCCACGCACGAGCCTCTACTGGAGAATGTACCGCTGGTGTTGAAGGAATGCGCGCAAGACGAAGAGTGCATGGACATCATCAACGATCCGGAGCACGTTCTGGATGGCGTGCGGTTGATCTGGTCGTTGCTGAAGCATCCCAGCGACAAAATCAAAAGAAATGCTTGTCTCGCGTTGGTCCCTTGCATTAAATACGCGAAAGACTCGCCGGAAATGGTGCGGGCGTTTGTGGGCGGACTAGAACTTACGGTCAGCCTCCTCAAGAGCAAAGACACCGAAGTTCTGAGCGCGGTTTGCGCTACCATCGCCGAAATCGCGACCGATCCGGAAAATCTGGGCATTCTTAGCGACCACGGCGTGGTGGAGGAACTGGCGAAGCTCGTGTTAACGGTAATTTTTCTATATTTGTAGCATACGACACGATTGACGATATAGATAATTATAATATATAATATATATATATATATATACTATATATTACTATATATTATATAGTAATATATAAATATATATATAGTATAATATATTACTATACACTATAATATATAATAACTATAGATAACTATAACTATAATATATTGCGGTAACTGTTGCAATTTAGGAAGATGAAAGTCTACGCGCAAACTTGACTTTGGCTGTAGCGTATTGCAGCGAATGGGAAGAAAATAGTTACAAGTTTGGCCAATTAAATGCGGTTGCGCCGCTTGTTAAATACATGTCCAGCAAAAATACAGACGTTCTCAGAGGCGTTTGTATAGCGGCGTACCATTTGAGCAAAGAACCCTCGAATTGCATTACCATGCACTCGTCTGGCGTGATAAAGGTATCAATGAAAAATATCGAAAAATACACGCCCAGCAAAAAGTATTCGATAAAAGAAATCAAGCGTCTATCATTTTTATTACTCGTATGTTTGATGTGACAAATTTTTCATTAATGAGAAAGTCAAATGGAATGGTAAAATTCGTGATATGCAATACTATTTTCCGGTTTTATTATATCGATTTTAATCGAATACTTTCTGCCAGAAACAATGTACTAACAATATGATACAAGTCAATTGCGATCTTAATGCAAATATAATATTTGCAATTATTTATAATGCATATATTATATTGCAAATATTATTATATTATGTAAATATATATTAATATTATATATTATGCAAATATATGCAAATATTATAATAATTTTGCAATTTTGCAATTATTATATTTGCAATTTATTTACGTCACAAAATTAAATCTAGCTATCCCAGTCAATACTTCTAGCGCATTTTTTTTACAGCATATATTGCGTTTGGTTGGATCCGACGATCCAGAAGTGCAGATTGCTGCTGCATCTACGATTCGAAACATAAGGAAGCTTGCGTTGACAGCGGAGAAGTTGAACCTTAAAGAAATGTATGTAACAAGATTAGTACGTGATTAATACTTTGCCTACATTTATATGCAGGTATAGTGGGCTATAGTGAATACTATTGACAGGATATTTTCTGATTTGTAGAAACACGTTGGAGGAAACAGATTTTCTCCTGTAATTCAAAAACGGCATTTAAAAATGAAGAATACCAGACAACGGATTGGAAGGAAATGTAAAAACAGAGATAGTGGTAGATTTTTAATAAAGAACAGTATTTACATACATTTACAGTTATTTAAAAGTTTCATTCCTTTGTAAAATTATTGAATTTTGTTCCCAGTGCACTCGATCGGAACTTTTAGATCTTTAGTATGAAACTGCAATTATTGTATAATTGTAATTATTATAATGTAAAGTCTATTTTTCTAGCTTTAATTTAAAGCTAGAAACAATCGAAAAATAACCACGTTAGATTTAATAAGGAATAAAAAGTATTTTGGATACATTGAAGTATTTATTAGAGTACCCTGTATCCATAGTAAGTAAAAGGTTCATGTAAACTGCTAAAAAAATTGGGAATAATATACGCTATTTGGAACAACAAATTATTCTTACTGAATTCATCATAAAAAGTCGTGCAAATATCGGTAACAATTATTCGCTCCGAAATAAATTTGAAAATAGCGCCATTTCACGCAGTGGCAAAACGCTCAAACTCGTAGGCAAAACGACAAACAAGGTATGTAGGAATACCTTGTCTATAATAGTACTTCCACTAGATGGCTATGTATAGCACTTCTATGGCCACAGCAACAATACTTATGGAAAATACTGTAGCTAGCCGCAATTATAGGAATCTATGATGTGAGTCCGACACACAGAATCACAACACGTATTCTGAGATCAAAAGTTTTAAGAAACTTTACGGATTCTGCAGGTCGGTATCTTCTGTACATAGCTACTTGATAAATGCGAGATGGAGCCACCGGCATTTTCTATTGGGAATGAAAAAGTAACTCAATTCAAATAGAAATATTCACCAGATGCAATGACATTTTCTTATAACTTCCGAACCATTGGAGGTATTGCAATGAAATTTTCACTATAAATATTTAAAAAATAATCATTCTTAACTTTAGGTAATTAAATATTTTTTCCATTTGTTAATTAATAATGTTTAATTAATTTTGATTCATATTTTTGATAAATATGGAAAATAAATGATGAAAACAGTTTTTGATTTAATTGTCAAAATTTTATTAAAGTATGAAAAGTCATGATTTTCGCGGATGTTTACACGTACTTAGTATATGACTAACATGTACGTAAAAGTGGATTACCTAACATTTATCCTTCGAAAGTTTTTCTTTATCTCGAAGTTTTTCTTTTCTTTATCTAATTTTGTTTAAACATTAGATAGGACAAGAGAGTATTAGAAGGTTTCATTAGGAAAAGAAATTCTTATAATTATTATTAAACAGCTAGAAATAATAAATGTATCAATAGAATATTTTCGATTTGACGTTATTAATTACTTCCGTTACGAAATGATACGACGAAATAGGCACGGGAGTATTTAATAATATCATTGGCAAGAAGAATTCTCGTAAATATTAAACATCGAAAAGCAATCAATGTATTAACAAATCTCGTCACTGTAACAATTTCTTGAAACATTCGTACTTGAAAAATTACGTCTAATCCTGTGGTCACTTCTGGCCATCCTAGTGGTCACTTCTGGTAATTTTTCCCCTTTTATTTACACATTTTTTTTGTTATTTCGGTATTTAATTTAAACAAATTTTCTTTTTAATTTTAACCTAAATTTACTCTATATACTCTCTCCTAAGATCAAATTTTAGTTTTCTTCTTAATTTGAATCTAAATTTAATTTACTTTCTTCTTATTTTTTCTTTTATTTTCTCTTACTTTTCTCTCTCTCTTCTTCTATTATTCTCTCTTAATTTTCTGCTTATCTGTATTTTACCTTGAATTTCAACATGAATTTACTTTTTTGAAATAGAAATCAATATTTTTATTTGGAATTTTAAATCAAACCTGATGTCTGGGTTATATGGAAACTTTTGCACTTCCTGCTACTGCTTCTTCTCTCCTACATTTCTAGTTTCGATATAAACAGCGGATCAAAATTCTTAAACTAAACTTTAATCTTTTTTGCAGATAAATTATTCCAATCTTCAATAATTCTTAATTCTAATTCTCTTGAGAATTTTTTGTAGATAATTACTAAATTAAATATGTAGTCTTCCTAAGAGAATATGAACGCAAGTTTCTGCAAAATCATATAAAATTGCGAAATTATTTGTTGCTTTTGAAAATCTTCGTAGAGTAGAGGATTGATTGCTGCCAGTCATAATTGACAAGTGACACAGTTGACTGTCTCGCGCCAACCGATCTCGTCTCTCATTGGCCACTATTTTTCGTTAATAACTCGTAAACAAAGCCACGGATTGCATTTTCGCTAAGGAAAAAGTTACTTCAAATGACCTCAGGAATCAACCCTTTCTGAATGTTAACATAATTATGGGATACCCTGTATACATATGCTCTATGACAGAGATAGAGCATTTTCGTAGACTGCTCTGAAATGTGCTGCAAAGTGAAGGAGGTGAGGTCTCATAAATGAGATTGGATGATACCACTCTGCAGCATATTTCAGAGCAGTCTCCGAAAATGCTCCGTTCTATCATGTGCAAATTAATTCCGAGGCCTGCTCTATGATATGTAGCAACTCTATCTTTACAACGCTTGAATGTTGTAAGTAGGTATCATGAAATAATGTTTCTAATTTAGTATTTACATGTAGATAATTAAATTTCTTAATATGTATCTACATAAATACAACTTCCGTACGCATGCGTACACAGATGTTCTCAAAAAATATTGGAGTCTTCACTTCTCATCAAGTTCTCTGTATTTCAAATAATCAAGTGCGAAAGTGGGAACTGATGCGAATGCGTACGAATGGTTGTCTTCATGATAGATTTGACAGACATTAATTCGATCTAAAATACTTTTAGTTATTATATAATTAAACATATAGGTATTTTACAGTAAGTATAGTATTTAATATTATAAAAGTAATGCATCTTTTGTGTAATTTCTAAAAGTTCGTCAGTAAAAGCTTCTGTTTGTAAAATAATAAATATTAATAGAATAAATATTTTCATTTTATTTTAATGTTGGTATCAGAATTTTTTAATATTTATTCTACTTCATTGTATTTTACTATTACTTAAATATAAACTTTTGAAACAAAGTAAACAATGCATTTAAGGTTATGTTATCAAAACAAACTTCACAAAAGATATTGCTTTTCTTTTAATTACGTTCAAAAGTAGTTTTCATTTATTATCAAATTTTTCTCAATATCTAGACAGATGCCAAGCGTGAAAGATGAATCAGAAGCAGAAGGGGAAGAAATGTCACACGATAGCAATGAAAGTAATCAGAGTTCTGCATCATGCGACAGCAGTGCAGACCATAGCGATAGCGATGATTCTTCAGAGATGGATGAGGATGAATGCGAAAGACGACGCAATGAATGTATGGAAAACTTAGTAGATTTAGAAAGACAATTTACACTCCTTAAAGAGCAGTAAGTTATTTGTTTTTGAATGATAAATTTCACTTGAATAAATTAGCTATAACTGAAAAAGTCATAATGCATATTCTAAAATAAAATTTTAGACTCTATCGTGAGAGGATTACTCAAGTAGATACAAAACTAGGAGAAGTTCGAATTGGAAAATCTGAAGAATATTTAATACCACTAGAACGTTTAAAAGAGAATATGAAAACAAAGACAGAAGTTGCTGGAATATTAAAACAATACAGGTTACAGAATATACAAAACAAATTTTTGGCAGAGGAGCAGGCTGCATTACAAAATTTCGAAAGTGAGAAAGAATTTATCTGGGATTGCATTCATAACGATTTGCAAGACAAAATTCGAAGGTTGGAAGAAGATAGAAATAATGTTGATATTCATGCCGATTTATGGCTAAACTCGACTGGTAGAAGACGTAGAAATCACACTGAAAGGAGAAGAGCAGTTTCCGTTGCTGGGCCTTACATTGTTTACATGCTAAACGATGCAGATATTCTTGAGGATTGGGCGTTGATAAAGAAGAGTCTAACCAGCCGAAAAACTGAGATGATTTAAATGTTTAAACAATTTTTGAACAAACATTATTAATTTGCAACATTGGTACTTTCTTTACATTTGTAGTTCTCTTATAAAGAGCTTTTCTGTGCAAAACTTCGATCTCAACAAGAATTCTAAATTACAATGTGACCTGTGAAAAAGTTCCATGAAACAATATCTCTGCCTTTCAGTAAACTCATTAAATGACAAATACCGTTACCATAGTATCCAATTTAGAAGCAGATCTGTCTACAAGGAATTTTACAATAGTTTCTGCTATGTAATACTCTCTGTTCTTTTAATAGTAT